TTGTTTATATTTAACTTTTTCTGAAAATTTAATAAATAAAAAAAAATCTAAAAAAGAAAAGAAAAAAACAATATACATGCTACACAAACAAACGTATATCATATATTTCAATAATCAATTTAAAATTAATTAGTAAAATTGTACGAATTAAAAGTAAACTTATGAAAAATATACAAAACGAGAAAAGTGAATGAAAATCAAATCGCAATGCCAGAAAACCCGCAATATGAACAGCTGCAAATGTAAATGGGCGTTAGGGATCTAGGTTTCTGGTCAACACAAGTGGGCGTGGCGAAAAGATAAAAGCTCATGAATTTTAACAATTTCATAAATAGGTTATTATATTTTGTTTTTTATTTTTGCTTTAGATATAGTTTATAATAAAATTATATAGTTTGAAACGCTTTAGTGTGTTTTAGTTGAAATTGTTTTTATGTTAATAACTCAAGTGAAAAGGCAAATAATAACTAATACTATTTATGTACATACAATACATACATATTTACACATATATACATACATACGTACATACATATACATCTATATATATATGTATATGCATACATACTTTTAGCTTATTGTAAGCGCCCCCTATTTTTAATTAACGTTTTTTCTCTCTTTTAATTATATTTGCTGTTCTAGTATTTTTCAATTGGAGTTTTGTCATTTTTGCTGGGCGCACTTCTTAGTCACTCTTGTGCTTCTAAACTTAAGGACACTTAATGAAAAAATGCAACAAAAAAATACATAAAAAATACATGCAAATAATTTTATAAAATCAAAAAAGAAAAAAAAATGTATTTCCCCTCCCACAATCGTTTTTGTTCATATTTTGCAAATGTTAGCCGGACTCGACTTTCGATTTTTGGCTTCATATTTTGTTGGCTGATTAAGAGAAAAAAAAACAAAAGTAGTTTGTAAAAAAGTATAAAAGAGTATAATGATAATGAGATAGCAAGCGCGAAAAAAAATTATTAATGATATAAATTTCTATTATGTATTTCTATATAATTATATAATATGGATCTATATCGTACTAATGTATAATTGTAATTAAAAGCGCAAAGGCAGCGACAAATGAAAAGAAAACACGTGAAAATATATACATATATTATATTATATTTAATGACTAAATGGTAAAGCTAGTTTGAATCTAAATAGGAATACATAGTACATATATGGAAGCAGAGATACGGAAGCGCAGATATAAGAGCAACAACTATTTTAATTAACACAACAAACAATGCATAACATATACAA